TTGGTTTTTCTGTCTTATGGGAGTAGTCCTGGGATGGAGATGAAAAATTTAGATGGAAATAAACGTTGTTTAAAGCCCTGGATATTCAATGACAGTTATCCTATGATCCATATCATTCAGCAATTGCATGTGTATATTAGGTGTAATACCACCATTGATTTTCCCCTATTAGTCTTTGTTAAATTTGCACTTTTCAAAAAATTGTAGAGAATTTATCTTTATTTCAAATGAAGAAATACTTGGCATGAGTAAAGTTTTATCCTGTCCAGTACTATAGAAAAAATTTCACATAACATTTCATTGCATATAAGAAAATAATCATCACTGGAAGTTAACCAATCAAATTTTCCCCTTTTTTAACCTGTGTACAAGCTTTAATAACCATGTAACCTCAAGTTTCCAAAATACTCTATAGAAACCCCAAATAAAAAAATAATGGTGCTTTGAAATACCAAAGATATATGTTTATGACCCAGAAATGTTTTACTGTAATGAAATGAAGGATCAATTACCTACAACTGTCAAATTCAAGGGAATATTTTTTTGATTTATTTTCGTATGCAACCGGATGTGACGTACTATGATTTGGTGGTATTACACCTACTAACTATAGTTGTAAAGGGATGTATATGTTTTAATCCAGTACTAGTAAATAATTTTGAAATAAATAGTTTGACTCGTGACACAGAAATACACAGTTATGCATATTATTATTTAAAGATATAACGTCTGCTCTTTAATTGATATGATAGTCTGAAAATGATTAAAAAATCACAGGGGTGATTCTCCAAAACTACATATATATCTTTGGTACTTGTCATTTAATTTCAAAGTACTTGACATTTTCTATGACACAATGATACAACAAATACTCGTACATGTGCAATCTTGTATATGTAGGTAAATTAAGAGTTAACTGTACAATATTTTAGGCTTCGTATACGTACAATAGGTTATACTGTCGCAAATTGAGTTTACTAGCTTTACATATGTAAAGCTTGAAATACAATACAGTTTATCACGAGTTGGTTGACCGTTATGTTTCACAGATGACAACAGATATGTTCCAATTGTCGTAACTATAATCCCGTCCCCTTTTTCCCGAATGTGCCCTACCGAATTAGACGTATCAGCGGATTTGTACTAACATGAGCAACACGACGGGTGCTTCATGTTGAGTAGGATATGCTTAAGCTTCCGGAGCACCTGAGATCACCCCTAGTTTTTGGTGGGGTTCATGTTACTCAGTCTTTAATTTTCTATGTTGTGTTTTGTCTGCTGTTGTTTGTCTGCTGTTGTTTGTCTGTTTGTCTTTTCCTTTTTAGCGGTTGCTTTGTCAGTTTATTTTCGACTTATGAGTTTGAATGTCCCTATTGTATCTTTCGCCTCTCTTTTATTTCCATTTTAATACAAAATAATCAAAATGTTTGTTTTTTTAATTACAGTTGGGATAATTCAATACCTCTCTTAAAGTCTGACAAGAATTGTAAGTAGAACTGTTCTATACAGGCAACAGTAGTATGCCGCTGTTCAATAGTCATAAATCGACTAAGCGAAAACAAATCCGGGCCACAAACCAAAACCGAGGGAAACACATCAACCTTAAGAGGGAAACAACGGAACAACAGAAACACCGAACTGCTACAAAAACAAACGCCAACACACACAGAAACAGACCATCCGACAACAACTGCCACACTCCCGAGCTGGCACAGACATTTCAAGAAAAAATGGTGGGCCGAACCACGTTGAAAACACCGGTTCTCGTCCGTTCACCGAAGTTAAGCAACGTCTACCAGTCCGTAGAACAGTTTTCCTGGCATCGTTAGAACAGTTTTGGACAGAATATATTTTCATTGAACACTTTTTGACAATTCTAAATTAGAATATGTTTTGACAGTTCAAACCTAGAACAGATTCTGACAAGTCTACACTAGAACAGTTTTCGACAGTTCTATTCTAGAACAAATCTTGCCAAATCTATTTATAGAACAGTTTTGGACTGCTCTATCTATTCATATAATAATTATATCAAATTGTCATCAATACTAAATCCTATGAAATTCTGTTCTTGTCTTTTGCACTTCAACATCGCAACTTCATAGACACACTTCGTCATCAAAATTAACACCAGACGTTTTTAGACTTTGCGCATTCTTCAAATTGAATTGAGTTTTGTCTGAAAGGAGATTTTCATGTAAAAAACGTGACTATTTTGCTCCGTACTGAAGAAATCACATACCAAAAAATTCCGAAATTTAAAATGGCGGTTTGGCTTTGTTACAGACCGGTAAACCGTGGATTTTACCTCCTCAAAATATATATTGATCAATACAAATCTTCGTTACAAACGAATTACATTAGAATATGTTTTAAAAATAATTTCATAATTTGAAACTACTACTAAAAAGTGAAATAACAAAAATACCTAACTCCAAAGAAAATTCCAAAACGGAAAGCCGTTTGTCAAATGGCAAAATCAAAAGCTCAAACTCACCACGAATGGAAAACAACAAGCCAGGTTTTTATAGTGTTGTTGTTATTTAGTTTACCCTTGTATTTATACTTTATAGGGGTTTGTCTTCTGGTCTCCTTTATTTTTCCATGGCGTTTTTGATTGATGAGTTTGAATTTCCCTTTCATATCTTTCACCGCTCTTGAACTGCATTTTTTACTATAATGTATGTACTTCAACTACAAATTTTTGTTTATTGGCGTCTTTGTTTGATTAGTGATGTATGTTTATTAAATTGTTTTTAAGTCAGTTGATTTGTATGTCTATGATGTATCTATACACAGTTTTGGCTGCTGGATCCGAATTACAGGACCTACCTATTGTATTTATTTCTAATTGGTTCTCGTCCTGAACATGCATGAAATATTTGCGACTGGACGTTAAGCAACCAACAATCAATCAACAATCTTTTGGTTGCTCATCAAATTTTGTCAATTTAACGGAACGATAAACAACCGTCATTCAAATGGGAGGTTTTGCTAGCTATAAAACCACTATTTTCGTCGCATTCGTTTCGTTGGTTGATATAATCGAACTTTTGATTTCTTTGGGGTTTATGGACTTCTCCCTTTTTGAATTTATCTTGGAGTTCGGTAATTTTGTAAATACTTTTTTTAGGTGAGAGAAACAATGGAAAAATCGTTTGTTTAAGGGGCAAAAGCGACGATTTATGACAACATAAGTTGTGATTTTCTTGGTGTCAAGCATTAACAAGAACGTAATACTGAATAATCAAATATTATTAGCAAGTCATTTTGGTTCAATTTTATAAACAAATAGCCCCAAAAATTCGCTAATACAATATTGACTAGCCAGATAATATTTCAACCTCCTTTAGACTTAGACCTTTGACCTGAGTGGGAGGCGATGGCGGAAGTGCTCATCAAGTTCAGTTATTGAATTGAATGACAGCTGAAAAAGAAGTACTAGTAAACTAAGGACGAACAGGATGACTGATTTCGTTTACTGTTTTGACTCACCAAAAAAAAAAACAACAAAATCATTATGATACTCTTCCGGAGCACCCGATATCACCCTGTGATCTTCGTGGGTTCGTGTTGCTCAGTATTTAGTTTTTTATGAAGTGTTTTGTAGACTGCTGTTTGTTTTGTAGACTACTGTTTGTTTTGTAGACTACTGTTTGTTTTGTAGACTGCTGTTTGTTTTACAGACTACTGTTTGTTTTGTAGACTAATGTTTGTTTTGTAGACTGCTGTTTGTTTTGTAGACTACTGTTTGTTTTGTAGACTGCTGTTTGTTTTGTAGACTACTGTCTGTTTTATAGACTGCTGTTTGTTTTGTAGACTGCTGTTTGTTTTGTAGACTACTGTTTGTTTTGTAGACTGCTGTTTGTTTTATAGACTACTGTTTGTTTTGTAGACTACTGTCTGTTTTATAGACTGCTGTTTGTTTTGTAGACTGCTGTTTGTTTTGTAGACTACTGTTTGTTTTGTAGACTACTGTTTGTTTTGTAGACTGCTGTTTGTTTTACAGACTACTGTTTGTTTTGTAGACTAATGTTTGTTTTGTAGACTGCTGTTTGTTTTGTAGACTGCTGTTTGTTTTGTAGACTGCTGTTTGTTTTGTAGACTACTGTTTGTTTTGTAGACTACTGTTTGTTTTGTAGACTGCTGATTGTTTTGTAGACTGCTATTTGTTTTGTAGACTGCTGTTTGTTTTGTCGTATTTGCCAAGATTTTTGTTGATCTCTCTTCGACTTGAGTTTTAATTCTCCTTTTGGTATCTGCCACTTTTGTTTTTATACAGGTTATAGATAGGACGAGGTTTATTTTTATGTCGGCGCCGTTGCCGGAGGGGCATTAAGTGTTACCCTTGTCCGTCCATACGTACGTCCCAAAATTGGTTTCCGTTCTCTAACTTTAGTTTACCTTTTTGGTGGCGTTACTTTTACCGTTCTTGAGTTATTCCCATTTATAACGTTATATGCAAGCGGGGCATCATCTGTGTCCAATGGGCACATTCTCCATTTATTTCTTTGCGTCTCAACAGAAAAATCGTCATTATACAATTATTTGCACCGGGGAAACATGTCTAATGATAATTTACAGAGGCCACTCCGTATGGTGAACTAGATGGCGTTCTGATCCCAAAAATGTTGATACTTTTTACAGTTTCGTGCAATGTCTTTTCCTGTAGGACTTTTATAGTCATACATTCTAGTACGTAATAAATGAAATTTGAGAGTAAAACTAAATTCGATGGACAAGACCTTGGCAGAAAATGCCCCTGTAATTGATCATAAACCATGATACCTGCGTGAGGTGTCGAAAACAACTTTTTAACGAACCAAATTTGGACTTTGGTATCTCCACCTTTGTATTAAATGTTTAATTATTTTATGTTCTTTTAATAAATTAAACTACAGCCTGGAAACGTATGTCTCCATCTGTCCTAAAATAAACATTTTGACAACACTATAAAAAGAAGATTTTAAATGTTAAATTTAAATGACCTGGTATCACTAACATTAATTAACTGTTTAATTAGCATATTTACATTTATTATATATGTATTAAATAAATTACAAGTCACAATTGTTTTATTCTATTTAAGAGGACGCATGTTCTTGAAGTATGTGTTCTAGATATTCATGTGTCAAGTTATGTCTCGTGATCATACCCATAAGCTGAAATAAAGAAAGACATATTTATTATCTATTTACACCAAGATGTCGTTAAATGAAATTGAATACCCTGTATATATCATGCTTTTCAATAACATATGGTCAAATCGCTGAAAGACCCTCCTCCTAAATTACTGAAAACTATTATTCTGCATTGACAATGATATCTTGGTGTAAATTAGATACACCCATTCGGACTAACGCAATCAAAGTGTATCTAATACTTTAAGTTATATGAAGTACACACAATATAGGTAATGTTATATCTGATATATATTTATTGGTAACAAGTTCTCTTCAATGACAGTAGCTGCTCTGTTTTATTTCAGTCTGTATGTATTATGGAACACAAGCCTTAAGCAATACTTTAATGCAAATTGTTCTATGTTATGCATTACATACATAAACTTTAGAGTAGCAAGGATCCCTAAAGAAATAAAGTGCAACATGAAAAAAAAAAAATAGCTTGACAGTTGCACTGAGGAAGGCAATGTTTGATAGAAACCGCCAACTTATTTGTCAGTTTGCGCTTACTTTCCTTGCAGATTCATGTCATTATGTGTGTAATGTATAATTTAAAACAATATGCAATAATGCATTGCTTCAGACTCATATTCCATGATTCATATGATACGTTACATTTACTTTCATGTATTATCGCTATTTTGTGTATTTTTCCTTTGATCTTTTTTTGTGATAATTTTTCTTATCATGCTTCGCGCTTGAGATAGAAATTTATCGTCAGAAACTAAGACGCACCTTCGATGAGATTGTAGCTGAGAAACACCCTCTCGTTTGAAAAAATCATCAATAATCTGTTAATATCCGTTTATAATACTCCATATTCAATTGTTATCAAAGTAAAGCTCGTTTACTCATACGAGTAAAGTATATTTGTGGTGTTTTTTGTTTTCAAATTAAACATATTTTATTTATTCAAAGTAAAATGGATTTGACACAAGTAAAATATACTTATGAAGTCCGCTCTGAATTACAATTTATAATAATACAATGTTAATATGAGCAACCAATATTTCAAAATATACAATACATTACGAGTCTAGCTATGACAAAATGACAAGAATAATAACTGGAAATTGGTAATGATATTGATGTGAAAGTACAGTAAATACACTATTCGGTATCTTAAACTCATCATAGATACCAGGATTAATTTTTAATACGCCATACGCGCATTTCGTTTACAAAAGACTCATTAGTGACGCTTGCATTAAAAAATTTTAAAAGTTCAAATAAAGTACGAAGTTGAAGAGCATTGAGGGACCCAAAATTCCGAAATTTATATGATAAGAAATGATTAATTCGAAGACATATTTAAATATCTGGAGGTTTGTTCAAACGAGAGGTTCGAATTACCAGATGTCAGTAACTTAACATTCAATATGAGGTAATCAGGGAGCCATCTAAGATGGTTCATCAGAATTTTTCTCGGGTCTTTACATAAAAAGGACAGTCGAAAATAAAGGGGCGTACAGTCTCAATACTGCACCCACAAAGACAAGATGGGTTAGTAATTATATTGACTTTGAATTAGTCATGATTCAAGAAACGTGTGTTGTTTTTAAGTGTCAGTGAATGTGTAATATTTGGTACTACTATACATTAGAGGCAACAGTAGTACAGGTGCTCAAAACTCATAAATCCCTTACGAATATACAAAGCAAGTAGAAAAGCGTAGAGGGAATTGCACAAACGGAGCGAGAACGGCTGCATTGACATTCCCTGACCGCGAAAATATGTTTCTCGTGAGTTGAGTCAGGCACATCATATCAGTCAACCAATACTTATGAAGTGATGATTTCAGTCGTTTCCCTTTAAACGTGCATTCACCCTCTGAACGGAATACAAATAAATAATCGTTGACTACTTTAGTAGCCATTAGAAATCAATACGCATTGACCTTTACAAAAACAGTGATGATTTCAGTCGTTTCCTCTTTAAACGTGCATGCACCCTCTGAACGGAATACAAATAAATAATCGTTAACTACTTAATAGCCATTAGAAATCAATACGCGTTGACCTTTACAAAAACGATATTTTATAAAATGTATGAAAACTGAGGTTAACAGTCAAAATGTCGCGAATAGGACACAATCGGCAAAAATGCAGAACAGACGACTACTAGTTATCTGGTTTCTTAAGATCTAAGACCGCGAAAAAATGTCGCTAATATGTTGAAACACAGACACATTGTATCAGCCAATCTGTAAGTAAAGGCAACAGAAGTATACTGCTGTTCAAAAGTCATAAATCGATTAAGCGAAAACAAATCACAGCCACAAACCAAAACCGAGGGAAACACATCAACTATAAGAGGAAAACAACGGAACAACAGAAACACTGAACTGCTACAAAAATCAAACGCCAACAAACATAGAAAAGGACTATTTGATAATAACTGCCATATTCCTGACTTGGTAAAATTTTGTTAAACTTAAGTAAACCGTATATCTTATATAGTGTCGATATTAGTCGCTCTTACTCATAACTCTGTTGGATCTGTTTCTTAAGTAAACCGTAAATCTTATATAGTGTCGATATTAGTCGCTCTTTCTCATAACTCTGTTGGATCTGTTTTTGTGTAAGGAGCTCACTATTGTTAATGAACTTCGTATATTATAAGAATGCACGACCGTAACGTATTTATTCAGATATGTAAACGCCATACGCTGGTCAGAGATATGTTTGAATTAATGTATGATTACTACAGCAATAATTGTTTATTAGAGTAACACCATAACCTAATGTGTCTGGAAGAGCCTGTCAACAAAATAAAAGATAATTAGAGGCCCCCAAGAGCCAGTGTTGCTCACCTGATTCTACTTTGGGTTTGGAAATCATGTAAAAATAGATTAAAATCATAACAGATACCATTATAATGATTGAGGCCAATTTTGGTTTAATGTTGGCCCCGTAATTTAACCAAAAGCAGAAGACTTTTGTAAAGTTCACAGAAATTACCAATTAATTCATTGAGATTGTAGAAAATGACTTTATAAGGACAATGACAAATCAGCTACAAAGTAACAACACTTGGTCAGCATCTCAAAAGAAACATGCATACCACGTCTGGTTTCAATCCATTAAGCGGTTTTCTAGAAGAAGACATTTGTATATTTTTCCCATAGGGTCCTTTGTTAAACTAAGTCCCCCGTTGGTAGCCATATTGGTTGATGGATCGGCTTCAAAGTAACAACACTTGGTCAGCACCTCATGAGGAACATTCATGCCATGTTTGGTTTCATTCCATTCAGTGGTTCTTCAAAAGAAGACTTCTGTATGTATTTCACATAGGGTCCTTTGTTAAACTAAGTTTCCCGATGGCTCCCATCTTGGATGATTGATTGGCTACAAAGTTACAATACTTGGCCAGCACCTCAATAGGAACATTAATGCCATGTTTGATTTCATTCAATTCAGTGGTTCTCTAAATGAAAACATTTGTATGTATTTTACCTAGCGTCCTATGTTAAACTAAGTCCCCGCTGGCGGCCATCTTGGATAATTGATCGCCTACAAAGTTACAACACTTGGTCAGTTCCTCATAAGGAACATGCATGCCATGTTTGGTTTCGTTCCATTTAGTGGTTCTCTAAAAAAAGACATTTGTATGTATTTCCCATAGGGTCCTATGTTAAACTAAGCCCCTTCTGGTGGCCATCTTGGATGATGGATCGGCTTCAAAGTAACAACACTTAGTCAGCACCTCATAAAAAACATTCATGCCATGTTTGGTTTTATTCTATTCAGTGGTTCTCTAGAAGTTTAAAATGTAACAAGTTAACGACGGACGACGGACGACGGACGACGGTCGCCAAGTGATGAGAAAAGCTCACTTGGCCCTTCGGGCCAGGTGAGCTAAAAATATGGTTTATACTTTGTGAACAACAGATTCTGATTTTCATATAATATTAGTATTTTGAAAATGGCGGAAGACTATGGTCAACTACGCATAATAACACGCAATCATACCAAACATTGAAGATTTTGGGCAATGTTTTCAGGTGGTATCGTTCAATTGTGGTTATTGTGCTATGGAAAATCTTTATAATCAAAGGCCCATAATTCTCGCAAAAAAGGATCAAAGCTAAATACTGATAAATTATGGTCAACAAAATAGGATGCAAAATAAGCACACCTATATTTAAAGCTGTCTGGCATACGGTCTAAGAAAGAGCGTTAACAAGGTGCCTGTACCCTACAGATGCACAAAAGGTCAAACACCCATAACTCTCGCGCAAACATTGATAAATCTAAATGGCGGTATAGTATTGCCAACTACACATGATGACAAACAATCATATTAAGTATAAAAGTTGATGGGGAAATAGTTTCAAAGGAGCATCATTCACAAGGTGTCATTATTCTACAATAGACTAACAATGGCGAAAGTATTATTACTCTCAAAAAGTGTGTTCAAGCGATCACAAACAATATTATTAAGGATGTTCGCTACTCTGTTTCAAAATAACAAGCTTTTTAAAATACTGTTATAAATTGATAGTATATTAATAAAAGAACTAAAAAAGTAGAAAAAAATGAAGGGTCCGTGTGCTTGTTTTTGAGATATAAGCCCTTGAAAATTTGGCGGGAAATGATTCTCTCTTTGATTTTTTATACATTTAACATTAGCACTTTTTTTCTTTCAAAAACGATAAAAAAATAACAAGGATTTTATAAGATTTTCAAAGATGACATTTTAAACTATGTGTAATCAAATTAATGGCACTACATGGAAAAAGCCAGAGGATTCCAAATATCTGTCAAAAAATCAAAAACAAAGGAAGCGAACATCCTTAAGTATTAAAGATTTCCGCCAAGGTCTCCGAGGAGAAATGTGTTATGGACGGACGAAGACTTCCAGTATTGTTATATCCTCTGCTCTGGGCGGCGAGGAACAAACATTAATAAAACATGAAAATTTGCTATTAAAGTGTAGACAATTTTTTATTGGCGTTTAATTCTAGTAACTACTGATAATATATGTGATGCAAAATCTGAACACTAGCAAAGTTTGTAAAGTTTAAACATATTTTGTCTCCGATCCAGTTGCCAGGCTCTCCCCCAACATAACAGGTTAAGGTGTCACTTATTGACTTTAGGACAACAACTGATAAGGTTCATTTCTCAATAAATCAAGTAATACAACACTGTCAAAAATAATTAATTTATCATTAAGTATAGACTGTCTTAATAAAGGATTACTTAAGATTTCCATTTACAACGTGCATCAACATCTTGGGTGAAATGTGTCCGGGTTTTATCACTAGACAAAATATGATTAGAACAAAAAAAAAATGTTAACGAATTTCAAGTCTCCCACCTCTATATTGTAATTATTAGTCGCAAAAAAGAGAAAAAATAAAAATTTTATAATCATTATCATTTTGTTTTAGAAAAAAATTTAATAATAAATATATTATTCCAACTCATTTTTTTCGCTATTATATGAATAAAAAAAAAGCGTTTAACTTTCATGTCTGAAACGGAAGCTAAGACGACAGTCTACATAAATTAAGTTTTTTCCTAAAGGTGCTATGCTCATAACCAATTTGTTCGACATTATTATTGTGAAATATTTCCAATGCCACAAAAGTCAGCGCATCAGTTCCTTAATTGATGATATGAAATTGTACGCACAAGCACATACGTCATTTAAGTTATTTAAGGAATGACTGTAATATTTTTTCTGTCTATGAAGAAATAACATAAACAATGAGGTGCACACTGAATAGCGGGTTATTTAAAAGTGTGCACCACATTGTTTATGTTATTTCAAATAGACAGAAAAAATATTACAGTCATTTCTTATAATTTAATTCTTAAAAGGAGTAAATCATGATAAAAACGTTGATGACGTCGCGGTCACATGACAAAATTATGTCTATGAGCTGATAGACAAAACACTTTCAGCCAATCAGAAGACGTGTTACATCCAAAATTAAATTAAATTTTTTCTTTCAATTAGATTATGATAAAAATAGAAGTATTGTATTTGAAGATTTGCGGAAAACAATTTTTGATTTGTTAACCGCAAATATCCGTTTACCCGCTTAGCTGACGATTCAGCAGTAAAGTCGCAAATTGATGCAAGCAAATCTTAAAAAGTAATATAAAAAAAAGACAAAATAATGTAGAAGTAGAAGAAAAAATAAGTTGATATTCTATTTTTTTGGGAAAACGTTAATTGTTTTCTAACTAGGTATAGCATATACTTTACATATCTGCAACCAGATCCATGAAATATAACTCAGATTTTTCTATTGAAATTGAAATTTGATAAAGAGTAAATATATATTTAGTTAAAAGCAGGAAATGTACAGTGAAAAAAGATACATATTCTGAAAATTAATATGCTGTTTTCATCTTTAGTACAATAGATGAAGCGACATTGGAGAAATTTGATATATAACTATTGAATAAGAACCTGTAGATCATTGAAAAATAAGATAATTAGGAAGTAGATATAATTATAACAATACTGGCAGACAATGGCATGGCATTATGCATAACTCTTCCCCTAATGTAAGCTTGGTATAATGGCCTATAACTGCTTACTACCACTTCATTTAAACTCTCGTGAATAAATATCTCATTTGCAATTATACCACATCTCCTCATTTTTATATTGCCTACCGCGAAAAGCAGTTCTTAGGTTAGACAGCATCTAAAATTATACCTTGAAATGCACATGTTTCCACATTTTGAAGTTTTAAGTTTTCAATGCTCATTTACTTCGTAGCGCCGCTGATTAGTATTTTTAGACAAAACGCGCTTCTTGTGTACTTAACTGTAAATCTGATATCTTTGAAGACTTTTTATAGACATAAAATTATGTTAATTATAGGAATACTTTTTTTAACATTACCGCAAATGTGGTGGCCGATACTTATTTAAACTGGTCTAAATTGTCATTTACTAGTTTCATCCTATTGTGATATTGTGTATATATCAACAAATTCTCATATCAAATGTTTCCGAAATACATGGTAAAACCGCAGTCTAAAAAGCTTGAAACCATATTAGTTTTAAATCACACATCAATCAAAACGACAAAAAATAAGTCGAAGGAATGTCGCAATCAAACAAAATTGTCAGTGACGCTTAGACCAATCAATTTCCTAAATATAAATCATAGATATATGTGAGGTAAGAAAAATACTTATTTATTTTCTTGCATAAATGAACAGGAAAGATGAAGGAATAAAAGTACCTTCTTATGTGATAGTGAATAATATACTGATAAACTTTAACTACTGATAATATTACCTGGCCATCGTGACTGACAACTGGTAGATGACGTAATCCCATACTTCTAAACAGATTGAAAACTTGAGGTACTGGCGTATTTGGATAAACAGTATATGGACATGGGTTGATATAGGGTGTTAAGTCCTATAAAATACAAATCACATATATCATCATTCATATACCAGTTCCACTATTAATAATAATTGACTTACAATGGTAATAATGAAACTGGCAGTACAGCTCCACGACACATACTATTTAATCATAGACAAACGTGGTAAATTAAGATTTTAAAACATACATATCGCTAAACATTAATTGTCAATACAGTATCAAATCCATGGGAACTGTACCAATATATGTCAAAACATATATCTAAATTCCGGTATAAACAGACAAACGTTGGGAGGGTAAACCATCGAAATTAAACCCGGTTCATCGACTGGGAAAGTATTTCTTTCTATGCATGCATAAATAAATTTAAAAGTATCATTGTTTCTTTTCATATTTACTTTGCGCAATTTGTAAAATATGTATAGGTAGTTCGTAGAAATTACAACGGATGTATCATTTCAGGTCGGTAGTGTTGTTGGTTTGCTGACTGATTGACATATACGTCACATGATATCTTCTAAAAGCATGTGTTTTTATTAATTGGACATACATTTGCATAAAAAGTTTATGTATGGACTTTTTCGTATATTATGTGTTTTATGTCGACATCTCCAAGCAAATTTCTTATATTTTTTAATTTTTCAAAAATCACAGATAACTAATTTCCCCGTATCCAAACAAATATAAAATAGTATCGGTGCAAATAACTCACTTATAAATTATGACTACATGTATGAAAACTGAATAGTTTCATGATACTGTTAATATATGTGCAAAGTTGATTTTCAATGCAAAGGCCAGTTAATCAAAGGTTTTCCTATTCCCAAACAAAGTCGTATTGATAAAATACGTGACTTGTAAACATAATTATTATTAGCTACTTACCACGACCATGTTATCGGATATGATTAAATGTGGGTCTTGGTTGATATCATAAATATCTGGATACCTAGGATATTCTTCTGTCATCTCCTCATATGACAATTTTCTTTGTGTTGATCGCTGGAAATAAAATAGAATATCAAAAACAATTACTTTCACCTGTTGTTCATCAATTCCTTAATGAACTGCAATAAACGATCTTGCTCTAGGGAAATGGTTTGCTGTTAACAAAAAATATAAATAACATCACAACAGCATATTGTTGATATAAGAATAGCGTGTAAACATCAATGTCATTGTCTTTTGAATTAAACCTATTGTTTAGAAAGGTTTATCATATCCTTTAACCAAATATAGCCGTTTATACGAATGAATAATATGAGTAAAATGACCTCTTCAATATATCGGAAATTGAAAGAGGATGTTGCTTAAAGTTTGTTTTGGCCATATATAAATTAACTGTTTACAAAACTTTGAATTCTTCGAAAAAACTAAAGATTTTCTTCCCTAGGAAAAGATTACGTTAGCTTTAGTTGACAAAACCTTTCGGAACTTTCGGCCCTCAATGCTCTCCAACGTAGTACTTTATTTGACCTTTTAACTTTTCTGATTCAAGCGTCACTATTGGGTCTTTTGTATACGTATCGTGCGTCTGGCGTACAAAATTATAAGCCTGGTATATTTGATGAGTTTTATTTCTTATTGTATCACCAGATCTGTACTTAAATGAGCAACACGACGGGTGCCACAGAGGAGCAGTATCTGCTAACCAATCCGGAGCACCCGAGATCGTCCTCAGTTTCAGTGGTTTTTAAACGTTTTTTGCCATGTCATTGTAAATTTGTTTTTCGATTTATGAGCTTCAATATCCATTTGGTATATTTCGGCTCTTTTTAAAGAAGATATTGTATAACGTTTTCTCTATATGAGTGTAAGAATAGTTAGACTAGCAGGGCACACGAATCTTAATGCATGACTACAAACATACTTAGTTCGTAAATTTCGTACACTTAATTCTGCTTCAATGGACCGTTTGTTGGTATCTTGTTGTCAGGAGTTACTGTAGACTTAAGGGAAATAATACTTATAAATATGGCAAATGAAGGTGTTTTTTTTCACTTGACCTTTCACCTAACACCAGGACACATTAATACCACAATGAATGAAAGAGAACCTATTATTTTAGTGCCATGCATTACATACGATTTTAACATCCTAAAGCAAGCTGAATGTCGCTTAAGAAGATAATTGTCTGTTCAAGTGTTGATTCAAACGATTACGCTTTGCAGTAACAAAATGAAACATTTGTACAATTTATTGTATTGATCTCTTCAAATTGATTATATAAGCTATTGATAGAGAATTTCATTAGACGCCAATATTTGTTTTAGTGACAGATGACAAATGTATACTTCGTTCAATGCATGAATTTAGAATAGAAAATAAACAAAACACCCAACACCAAACTGTCGTAAAATTAAACAACTGAACTTTTCCGTTTGTTTATTTACCATAATTTAATTGTATGTTGAAAGTTTCTGAAGTTTCACTACCTGTATCGCATAAAAATATGATCAATGAAAACATGGTCAAAGTCAGACGAACCCTGGGAGACGGGCATGTCCAACTTCCAATTATTCTATTTACACGAAAACATGGCGTTGACCAATGAACCATAAAAATGAGGTCAAAGTCAGACGAACCCTGGCAGACGGGCATGTCCAACTTCCAATTATTCTATTTACACGAAAACATGGCGTTGACCAATGAACCATAAAAATGAGGTCAAAGTCAGACGAACCCTGGCAGACGGGCATGTCCAACTTCCAATTATTCCATTTACACGAAAACATGGCGTTGACCAATGAACCATAAAAATGAGGTCTAAGTCAGACGAACCCTGGCAGACGGGCATGTCCAACTTCCAATTATTCCATTTACAAAATATTGTTGACCTATTCCTTGTACCATATGAGGATCAAACATAATAACGAAAACATGGCGTTGACCAATGAACCATAAAAATGAGGTCAAGGTCAGACGAACCCTGCCAGACGATCATGTACCTCTTACAATCATTCCATACACCAATTCACTGACCTATTCCTTACATTATCTTAAACTAACCCGGTTTTAAATCTTCTTAATTTAATACATTTACTTTACCAATGATCCCTAAAAATGAGGTAAAAAAAAATGTAAACCCCCTTCAGACGGAAATGTGCATTTATACCTTGCAATGATTCTACATGCCCAATATCTGTCCTTTTACTCATAATAAATGAGATAAATCACGTGAACAATCGATGAACTATGAACATGTGGTTAAGGACAACGAACGTATGCTAGACGGAAAGTTCGAAACTACACAGAGTACTTTTACTCACTTTAAATTAAAATATTTTAATGGTCAATGTATACAAAAAAATATCGAAGGTACCCTTTCTATAAAATAGTTAGTTTCAATAGTGAACAATGTCCCTTTCTTTCGCATCTCTTAAACATACCTATTTCATAGCAAAAATAACTACACATATGTAAAGCGTTGAAGACTTTTAAGTACACAAGTTTAGACAATGATAACAAATAACAATCTCAACAATAGCGAAATGTCTTAGCATTCAAATGATGTCTAATACATAGTAAAGATTAACTATTGGGGTTAAATTGAAATTGCCACATACTTATTGTCACTGTTAGAAGGAAAATACATGTTTTACACAAACAAGATTTCGTCAAACTTTTCTTATGTATGAAGTTAAATTCTGATTGACAAAAAATATAAAAAAAAAAGAAACAAAAGGATTTACTTTTGGGCTTACTTAGAAATAGACACATACGTTTTGCCACTGTTGGGAGGAAAATATAGTGTTTTACATAAACAAAGATTTTGTCAATCTTTTCGAATGTACGAAGTTAAATTCTGATGGATAAAAAGTATGTAAAAAAGAAAAAAAAAGGATATCTTTTGTAAATTTTAAAAGCCATAGAATGAAAACAGCTTTTAAAAAATAAATAAATGTACAGATAGGTAATCGTTTCTGCATCTTCTGGGTCTCAATGAGATAAAGACATGAAATAAACATTAATTCCCAATTTGATGATCTCTCTGAAGTAATTAACCGATTTAGGATACATTTCATTACAAAAACGCAAATAGGAAACATATTTAACATATTCCGCCTGTTTACGGCAATGTCGATACAGGTATTTCTTTACGACATCAGAAATGGATTTTAGTATTAAGATTAAGTATTATTAGGAACAAAGCCAGAGTAATTTAATTATGATCGGCAATCTGATTAGTGGAATTATTGTTTGACAGGAAGACAAATGTCTAATTGATTTTTTCGTATTGACAGAACTATCCGCCTTTGCATCCACGTGATAATTTTGAACGCCTCTATAAACTCTTTGTACAAGCATTTAAACATCCACTTTAGAAAATAGTTCCACAGTTTTAGGCTTTCAAATTAATACAAAAAATGAAAGGAATAATGTTGCTAACCGTTTGTTTTGTGTTAAAATGCCTTATATGTATGACAGAAGCAAACTGGTACGGAAAAAGAGGTAAATATGTCACTTATATTTTGAAAATACATTTAGATTATAGCTGCAAAAAGTTTTTTTAGTTCTTTTTATTTTAAAATGAGAATATCAAAACCTTTCGAAAACAATGATTAAAAATACTGATTTTAGTGCACAGTAATTTTTTTTATGAACCCGCAAAATAAAGCAAATTATTAGAAAATTTCTTTTGAAACAAAACTATTACTATAGAAATAATAGTGATAAAAATTATACTTATTTCTTAAATAAGCAAACCAATTATTTTCACGAAAGTGACATCACATGTACAGTACAAACGGTAGAGGTTTTTTAACAAAGCTTTTAAAACAGGAATAAAGGACTATACATTGTCAGCAATTATCCATCTGCCAATCTGCAAAAGGAAATAACAAACCACTTAATTTTAAAGTAATTTAAAAATTGCTAGATCTAAAATAATCACAATTCCATGATATGAACGTTATCAGTTTCGGGCCATATGAATATTTAGTCCATACGCGTATGTCAATCGCATACTCATATGGTCCAACCAAACGCGTATGGTGGGACCATACGAGTATATACTCGTTTGGTTATAAACGGGCCGGATCATATGAGTATTTAGACCATATACGTAATTTTTGAATAAATTATAAATACCTTCGTAGGAATACACAGCTCGTTCTCCGAACCATAATTGTCTCAAGTAACTAACTGAAATGCTTAATCATATCGTCTGAATCTTAGTTTATCTGTTATCTTGCCTTCGCTAGCGTCATTTAAAGCGTCCTAATCATGTTAACCTTTTTGTCCGTAACGGAAACCAATACTTATGAACATTGTGTATAAACAGTTTGTTTGTACACGTTGTCTAGACTTTTCTTACTGTTTTAAAGCTGTTACAAATGATGTTTAAATTTTTCGACAGTTTTAGTACATGTCTATTGTTTTTGTCTTGCATGTTTGTGGTACTATAATGTTTGTGGATTAATTCCCGGTAGTCAAAACTCAATTTTTTCTCTCCTCAAGAAATCGAAATTGATTGTACGCAGATTATTTAGAAGACAACTTATTGAACTGTTATATATATACATATTTTCTATAAACGGAGATATAAAGTTCATGCGAACGAATAACAACCAAAAAAACAATAACGAAACTAGAAAAAAATACCCAGAGAGAAAAAGACCTCATCAAAGATACCAGGCTTATAATTTTGTACGCCAGACGCTCGTTTTGTCTACAAAAGTCTCCTCAGTGCCGCTCGAATCAAATAAATTAAAAGGCCCCAAAAAGTAAAAAGTTGGCGGGTATTGAAAACGACGTCTACAACAATAGACCGATGACTTTACCAAGTGTAGCTCTAAATCTTCTAAGTCCAGACACGATATAAAATGATTAAACATACCGAAATCCCTAAAGGTTTTGGACATGAGACAGACACAATAACATTTTGTGGTCTTAAATTAGTAAATACAATTAAACACTAACAGTATGAATAACGAAGACTGAACAACTATTGTACATTGGGGAATCAATGATTTGTTTATATCCTGATATTGACTGTATATATATACTTTTGATAGAGGACAGGATATACAATTAGTTGCTTAAATGTATCATACAAGAGCTCACAGCAATGTTTTTTATGAGTTCATGATCTTATTTACAAATAATTAGAATAAAGAAGTACATTTCAGGTACAATTCCTCATTAAATATTTATTTCTCATGGGAACAGTAACATGGAACTGGTCAATTTCATCGCAAAACAGCATTTCATTTGGTATAAAATATTAAAAGGTTTATATGTCTCATATAATGAATTACAAAACATGTTGAATAATAGGGTTTCGAGCATTTATAAAACTCCCACACCTTTACTAAGAGTTTTGCAAAAGTTGGGAAATCTTAATATTACAACTTCATGGAATTGAGCATAAAGAAATGAAGGGATTTCTACTTGTTCAAAAGTTTTTTTTTCACTAAATTTTCAGGTATTTTTTTTTATATTTTTAATCTGTGTACATTTTTCTGCTGAAACCCTAAAAGAATGACACACAAATGAAACAAAACATCAAAATCATTCTTTATTTCTGGCAAGTTTGATTTATGTTAAATAAATTGTTTTAGAGAAAGATTTAAATCGCCATTCTATAGGATTAGAGATGATGCATCTTCAATTCTTGTATTAGACAGCTTTTGACATTCATTGATACATGAAGCATTGGTAAGAGCATTCATGCAGAGTATATCCAACTTATGGTTGAAGATTGTTTTCTAGGACAAATGTATGATCCTGTATTTAGCAACGTATACAACATCGTTGCCGCCATGTATGCACAAACCGAAGGATCATTTGTCTTTAGTCGTCTAACAAAAATTATTCTCGTACAATTTTGAACAATGTTGTTTTAAAGAATAAATTTGAAAATAATGATGAAGAAAATTATCTTTCGGCTATGATGTTCACTCAGTTGAAACGAAGTTGTGCTCGTTTTAAAAAATAACCTTTCGCACAATATTACCGCAAAGTTTGGTCTAAATAATCAAGCCCTGCAATGCGATGGTTGTTGTTGGCTGCTGTCTGTCATATTTGTTTTCCGTTACTCTTTTTATTAGGTTGTTGTTTTTCTCTTTAAATTGATTCACTTATTGTCATACCGGGTCCTTTTAAAGCTTACTATTCGATTGTTGTTTTTTGAAGGCCGTAAGATTACCTATTTATTTTTACGTCCTCCATTCTTTTCCTGGTGGATAGTTATCATACCACATCTCCGTATTGATCGAACGCTTTAAGTTTCATTCATTATAATTGGTAAGTTTTAAAATACTGCATGGGCGATGGGCTATTCGGAGTTTGCAATAAGCATTACGAACTAATATCGGCAAAACCTTTTAACTAAAAGAAAAACAAAGGATATAGGGTATCCATCCACATCTTTTGATTTACCTTTCGACTGTTTTTAACTCAACCTTGATTAAGATATACAGCTATCTGCACATTTAATCAGTTTATTATGAATACACAGTAGTTTTATCAAAATATTTATAGAAACTAATTACAAAAATTATATTAATAGATATATGAATTTTCTGTAGAGATGAGGTTAAATCTTTCTATCAATAGAGATAAGTTAGTCAAAACCTCCTGGTCAACAGTTTTCATAACTGTACGAAATTCCGATTCTTTGAAGTTTGATATAACATTCATGATGAGTGGCCTTTTATATGTTTCGTTATTGACGGATGATGAATATAATCTATTTCTTACAACTCAATTAAATTAGAGATGTTTAAATTATGTTTTCCGAAATAAAACCTGTATGTTTATAGGTAGATTTAGAGAACCCTGTTGACGGTGGATTATTGTTTTTCGAAAAAATATGACCATTCAATGAGAAATTCATTTTACTTGATTTTAAGACCCGTATTCCATGTCTCGGTGATCTACCCTCAAACAAGAGATTAAAAAAGAAATTTTACTTATTATTGAAATTGTTGAATAGATTTAAAATACAGTCAATATTCTTAACCAAACAAGAATGATTTTGTAAAATTCGATTGCAGTTGATTGCCTTTAATCTTATTTAGTGGATACAGTCATAGTCAAAATAGAAATAGAAATAAAAAGAAAATAAAGTATACAAAAATCATTCTAGTAATCTTAAAAAAAATCTCAGTGACGTTTGGATGTTCGAAATGCAAAGGCATCTTTAGGGTGTGCAAAATACGAAAAAAATAATTTCCGATTGTAAAATCTGCTCATGAAAATGCACTTAGTTCTATAAATGTCATAATATAAAAATATTAAGGGAACGCAATTACTAAATAAAACTCTGTTATGACATGCGCTTGCAAATTCAATACCACTCAAACATTAAATAAAAAAAAGAATATAAATGAAAAATAAATGCGAATTTGTCAAAACCAGTGTGGTTTAATTTAATTTACAAAACAGTTTTCAGTTTGGGGTAGAGAAATAAGAAACCCTCTTTTGCAATAATTTCTTACTGATTTCGTAGGTTCACGTGTTGCATTTCTTTCTTTGAAAGACAGCAAATTATTTAATTTGTTCATTCATTCATTCATTTATTTATTCATTTATCATTTTACTTTATCATAGAGTAAGAGTCTTGCAGTGAAATTAACTTTCATTGTAGGTTAATTGTTGGTTTTTTTCGTTGAAGGTAGTCTTTGTAAACTTTTCTCACGGCCTTGTAGACATTGAATGATTTAGGGCTTGACATATTGAATAGAAAATAGTCTGTTGTTGAAGACCTGACGTTGTAGTGTCGTTAAGTTGTTATCTAATTTGCCGTTTCAGAATCCAATGCATTCTTGGTAATATTTCAAAAATACACTAAAACGTTGTGACCGGCTAGCACCGTCCTGATAAATGGAAATTCAACCAATGGCAGTACGTTGTTTTCATCTTGAGGTACAAACAATGAAATTACCCATAGTTTAACTTTAGATATGGAAACGGCAAATTGAAAGTTAATCTATAGCTCCAATCATTCTTACAAATTGTTGCGTTTGAATCGCTTTTTCGGAGATGAAAAGTGAAATCAATATTTCAACACAGGACTATCACAGTCAATAGAAATATATTGCTTAACAAATCTTCAACAGGCTATAAAACGAAACCAATATCAGGCAATCATCATTTAAAGAAAATAAGGAAATACAATAAAATATAAAATCAATTTAAATAAAAGGGAATAGATATTTAGCGTGGTTTGATAATTATTTGAATTAGTTCATGTTTTCCTCCTGTAAAGTAATAATCAAACTTTATAGAGTAAAAACCATTCGAGACACTGAGAAATGGAAAAGCTCATCACATAATATACTTGCAAGCCAAAATCTACCAAGTAAAATATATGTTAAATATATATAATGAAACTTAAACTTTTTTAAAATGTTTTGAGTTATATGCCATGCTTATTTACTCTGTGGATTTCGATATGATATTTAGTATTTAATGTTTTAACAATGACAATCGTCATTGAAGGATTACGAGTATTATCAAGTACCTCACTTATTACAGAATCCATAAGAGTGGATTTCATGATGAAAAACAGCAATAACAACACCGTTTCTTTTGCTTTGAACACTATTAGATATTTTCTCATGTACACATAAATTAAATAAAATTTATCCATGATAGTTTACGGAAGTATAACACACTTGATTAATCTTAGTAGCTTGTATTGGAATAAACAGATTAATAAAATTTTCTCCTCGTTTAAATATGGCTGAAATATTTACACTTATTGTTTAAAATGAGTAAAATCATTGATGCATAAAAACTACTTAAGTGTCATTACTACAGTCGATTAAACAAATTTCAATTAGAAAATACTGTAAAAGTGAGTTATGTTGTTTAAGAGCTTAAAGTACAGTTGCCATCCATTAAAACTATGTTAAATTAAATTTCATACTCGTTACGCTAATCATTTGACATTGCAGGGAGCAGAAATATTTACAATCATGTTCATATAATATGCCATTGATCATTTAAACAATTAAAAATGAAATAATTTCCACAACATGAGACTTATTTATTCAAACATCTCATGCCAGGATATTGATAAATCTATCAATCTGTTTCGTCATTTTAAGAATTCGGTTTGAGCTAAATAAAAAAAAACCAAAAAAAACCCCAGCTATTCGAAATTATTCAAATTTTTAAAGTTGTATTTGCAAACCCGGATAGGAACTTTATTTTGGATATAGCATGTATATAAGGCTTTAATACTTTAAATAATCAAGCATCAACCAGAGTCTTACCTTTGTAAAATATATTAACACGATGAAAATATTCTCACGTCAAGCAAAAATGAATTCTTCAATTTTGAAGCACCTACATAAATAATTGCTTGAGTGATGGCTAGCGCCTCAACACCGATGAACTTTTCGTACCGATGGTCTTAAAACCTTAAGTGAATTGTCAATGATCATGAAAAAGGATTGTGCGCAGAAACATGATATTAAGTCTCAAGGTGAACGGGGAGTAATTGAGATACCGTCGCATAAAATACATTAATATATTATCATAAAGAACGAGAGCACATGAACTAAAAAATTGACGAAAAATGTTTACTTTGATCATCTTTCGTCAATCCTTACCGTCCATTTACACGAATGCGCAATTACTAATGCTATTTATTACATCCTTTAACAGTTTAAAGGAGCTTAAGCATTTAATGAATTCATATTTAAGTAAATTCATTAGCATACACAAAAGCAAGATAAAACTAGCATCTACTCAATATTTTAGTTGGTCACTTGTCATTGAACACTTGGAATTTCAAAGCAGAAAAAATATACTCAGTGATTCAACCTTTCCTTTTCATAATTATTGATATAACATATTAAAAAATACATGAATACCTTCTAAGCACGCTAGTTTAAGAAATTGAATGTTATGCATTCCTTATCATACCGTCGAAAATCACGGTTTGAAAGTTGACGAATCTCCTCGCCCTTTCATGGTAATATAGAAACGCTTTAGAACCGGTTATATTTCAAATATGCTTATTTAAAAGCAAGCAAGTAATGGTGGTTTTACCTACTGTTTTGAAAATTATCGCTATATAAATACGACCACTTCAAATTTCCCTGATTTAGACTGTTGTGCTACTTTTAACTTCGCACTATTCTAGATTTAGTTTTCAATGCAGTCAGGAACAAGTCTATGCGATTATGTAGGGTTTTTTGCTGACCGTTGGATATGCCCATGCATGCATTTATACTTCTGTGAAGTAACGTTAATTCAAACGTTATGGATAACAGTTTCATTTTACCTAGCATTTTTTTTACTGCGCACGCCTTGAGTTTTACTGCGAAAACATCTGTTGTGTCTTTATCTCATTTTGGATTGGCTTGGTTTTATCTGACTTATGAACCTCGGCTTTTGAAGGTTTGCTAACAGCAGCTCTATTTGATACGGATTTAAAAAAAAAGGTAAACCAAAGTATCTAAACTGACCCTAAAGACTGTTTTATCTAAACCACAGTTTTCCGTGTAGTTATAGTGACCCAGAAACTAAAAACCTAAAAATTGAAATTGTTAATAAAGTAATTTTCAAGAGGATAAGTTTTATGAGTCGTAATTGAAAAAAAAAGAATATTATACCCCTGTATAATTCAACAGTTTTAGAACTGCATTTTCCGTTGCTTTCAAAGACATTATAAGTCGGAACTGTTGCAACTTTCATTTCTGTCGATTGTTAATTTTTTAATTTCATTAGAGTTATTTTGCATTTAAAATTCCTGACTGGAATTACTATTTTAACGATCATGCAAGAAATCGAAATATATCGTTTTATATGTGAAATATCATATTCAATATTGTGTAAGAACATATATATTTTATAAAACAATATAATAAATACTTTTAAAACTATAGTTTGATAAATGGATATTGTATTAAATATTTTCAGCTACTTTGTAGCATGCTTTCGTACACTTATTATTTCATGTTATTATATTCACGTGTAAAACAACAACATCCTCTCAAGAAAAAGTACTTGTATATATCTTCAGTAATAATAATAATTTTCTGAAGCGGTACTTGAAGCGTTGTTTTTAAAATGGATTTGAAATATGTACATGCAAATTATAACAGAGCATTTAAGTACATTCGGAGGCAAAATAACACAAAAAGGAGCGAAAGATCCCAAAGGTATATTGAATCTCAAAAGTCGAAAACAAACTGACAATGCCTTAGCAACAAAAAAAACCGAAAAACAATCAATAGACAATTAACAGTATACAAATTACAACATAGAAGATTAAAGACTGAAGATCATAAACGCAACCTGTTTAAACACAGATGCGTATGACTTGGGCTCTTACCTTTTTGGATTCGAGCGTCAGTGATGAGTCTTTAGTAGACGAAACACTCGTCTGGCGTAAATAAGTATAAGTCTGGTATTTTTTATGAGGTTTTGCTTGTATAATAATTTATACCTTTTATATTCAATTTCCTTATGTTATTATATACCACTTAAACGAATCTCAACTATCATATTGATAACTTTGAATTGTTTCTTTTCAGACGATTCTCAACTTATTAGTCGAATACTGTATAACAGACAGCCGTTAACCAGGGAAGACGATAGCGAGTTTATATCAAAATTGGAAAATTTATTAAAAGACCTGAAAGAAAAAAGAAATTTATTTCCAGAGAATAATACAATTTTCAAGAAAAGGAAATGAAATGGTACTGTCTATATCCTTTCTGATATTTTTTACGAACCTGTATTGCCTAATATTATACTATTGTTTTAATATATCTGTTAGTAGTATTTTTAATTCAATCTGCCAAATTCAATTTTTTGCAATATATCCAATGAACAGAATGCCTCATACCTTAGATGAACAGAAAACACTTCCGATCAGTGAAACTTATCACTGTAAATTTAATAATTAAATTTTAGTTTTATAAAGTAATGATCAGTATTTTTAAACACACGCACACACACACACACACGCATATTTATTCATTAATAACATATGGATACAAATTGTGTGCTGAAATACTTTATCCACAAGATTTGAAAAATATGCAAAATACGGAAATGGAGATTGAAGGAAAAAGATATATATTTCAAACGTTTTAATAAAAATATAATAATTAAACAGAATAGAAACGACGTTTCAGTATTATTCTCCAAGCATATCTTAAAACACACAGCTTTCACTGGGTTGTTATCAGTTTGAAAGAGGAAGTAAAATAACAAAAATACCGAACTCCAAGGAAAATTCAAAACGGAAAGGAAGGTGATGCCAAATTTTATAAGTGTCATATTCTTGCGCCTATATCAAATTAAATAAAATTTACAGCCATCTCACACAATGAAACAAATACATGGTGACAACTTACAAATAAAACCAACACTTCAAGGACACACTGAGACATAATTGTTCACTTCTTATCATGTATGATGATATTAAAAATTATATTAAATGATTATTCAATTATGATCTGAATTCATAATGACATTGACAATGCCAGACTATTATTTATTTAAAGCTTGACTAAATAACTATGCCGAAAACTTTCAAAGATGAAAAGCAATAATTCGTCGTCTTTCAGTCAGTCAAAAATGATTTACACGTAGTTTTGACAGGAATCTTTAATTTGCAACTTCAGTTAATGTAATTAAGACGTGAAGTGACATGCACTCGTGAGACAATTAAGAGAAATAAGGGACTGAACAAAGATAAACCTTTAGTCATATCAGTACAGACCATGACAATCACAATTCCCAGCAGAAAACTTTTACAAAAAGTCATGTAGATTTGTTTAAGCCTTTTTAACTATCATGTGTTGCGGAATATTTGTTTGGTCTAATTTCACTCTTCCTTGACGATAAGTGGGAAGAGAAGATACATAAATCTCCAATTTTCTACGAACGGATGATTGTTTTATGTTTAAAGCAAAGTAGCATACATTTCACTGAGACAATCATTTTGAAAACAGAAAAAAAATTGAAGTTTCCATATTTCAGACTATCTGTGTTTACTAACGGTTAAACATAAGCAGAATCAGCTTGCCCCCCCCCCCCCCCTTTTGCAATATACGGTTATCCTTAATGAAAGATACAAAGTGACAATCATTTCTTGTCAAAGTACTACTTTAAAATGTCAGGAGCTGTCAAAAATTAACATACCTTTAAATGCATATAATAGCGTGCTGGTTCCCGGAAGTTAGAACGTACCAAAATGGGTTGAGACCTTAGTAACATGCAAAATAACCCCATCATTTTAAATGTCATGCAATTTTGTTATTATTAAAAAATGTTGAATAATGACCACCAGTCATTCATCTTTCATTTTATATCAAAATTACTGAAATAAGACGTTAATTTACATCTTCAGTGCTAGTGAGGCAATATCTAGAATCAAAATTAACATATTATTTGCAATGTAAAGAACCATATATCAAGTAATGTTTTACTTTTATTTTCAGAATAAAGAAATAGAAGCCCGCCTTAATGGAGCTCATGGATATTGTCTGTACATTTCCGAAAACTTTACATTTTGTAATAAACTATCATGCAATGTATTAATAGATATGCTCATTTTAAATTATTGTGGAAATATGTATTTTTAGGAAAAACTGAAGTATGAAATTAGGAATAAATTTAAACTGATAAAGGCAACCAAACTATGAATAAATGAAATATGCATATGACAAATTTTACTGAATATATGAAATAAAGAATAATAAAATATTTCTTAAGATACTTACTTTTAGAAATTCTCGAACAACTTTTTTACGAAAATGTTAGTGGCACTGTTGCGTCAAATTATCATTTCAATGTATACATACTTTTTTAGAAAAAAAAAATACAGATACTTTGTATAATAAATTATATCATTCATACTTCTTTCCGATTTTATTCTATTCAGTTCTGGTAAAATGTCAATATCACATAAAGGTCACGAGGTGTCTGCGAATATAGCTTTCATTTATAAGCTGACAAACAAGAATCAAAATGAACAATTACACCACGGGTGCAACATGTGGAACATGATATACCTACCATTCCGGAGCAAATGAGATCAACCCCGTCGTTCGGTAAGGTTCGTGTTGCTCTGTTCCTAGTTTTTTCCAAGCTGTGTTTTGTAGGGTTTTTGTCTTTTCGTTGTGTTTTTTTTTCATGGCATTGTCAGTTTGTGATCGAGGTATGAGTTTGAATTCCCTTTGGTATCTACCGACTCTCTTTTACACATACAAGTCTATGGACTTCAGAAGGAGAGGAAATTGCATCTTGTCACAATATGTTCTATCAAAGCCATATAAAAAAATATCAAAGTCACATTAAAAATTGAATTTATGCAAGACTGAAAAAGAAATTCACTGAAATTTGCCAGATAACTGAATACGAAACGTAATAGCCTGTGGAATATATTGTAATATTTTGCCTCTTCTGTTTTGCATGTAAAATAAGGAGATGTGGTTTGTTTGACAATAAGACAAACATCCATCAAAGACCAAATGTTATTGATGCAAACAATACAGCTAATCGTACGACGGCAAAATACATACCATAAAGTAAGCTATAAAAGACTCAGGAATGATAAAATGTGAAAAAGTAAAAATAAAAAACAAAAACAAAAGCAAAAAAAAAACGGCCAGATTTATACTGTAGCAATAAACAAAATGATAAACAAATGGCAGTCAGAAATCAAAAACCACCACTTGATAGCTGCTGAGGCTCCTGAATCGGGAAAGATACGTTACAAAATGTGGAAAGGGGGTGGGGCACGTTTGTGTTTACTTAACCCTCCTTTTAACCTGAAACAAGGGTATAACAAGCACAATTCAACATAAGAACGAACTTCAAAAATAGATTGGGAAGGACTTGATCAATACCAGCACAAAAAGACAACTAACAAAAAGACTAAAGATACAAAGTACCTATCTAAGAGTAATGAGTAGTCTGTTCGATGTGAATATCTAATCGCAAAATGTGTGTTCATTTTGAGACACTAGGTAAACTCCGTTAAAACACTGTTCGAACTATTTTGCGATTACTCAGTATTTTAACTGCTAAAGAGAGAACAGTAGAAAAGTAAATCTTCTTATGATAAATGTTACAAATCCAATAGTTTGTTCACGTTAGTAATCTTATTGATTAAAGTAATTTTAAACAACAATCGTACATTTCAAAATTTTATTTGTTAACTCTTGACAACAATAGTTTACCGATGTTCATAAATTGATTAATAAGACACAAATCAAGGTTTCGAACAAAATCTGAGGGAATCGAATGAACCCTAAATGGAGCGAGACCGGGTGCGTCGACAGGGTAAGTAGCGTATGCTGCTATATAAAAATAAGATGATGTGGAATAGATCATGTCATTTTGGTTTTTTCATACTGATAACTCGGTACTCGTCAAGATTTTTTTGCAGAATCATTACAATTATAGTCACCGTTGAAAGATTTAAATGTATTTCTATTTCAAAGAGGAAATTTATGTACTGATACGTTTATATATAACTTATTCGACCATCGTTGTACGTTTATTTAACCATCCGGGTCTCTTTTGAAATAACTGAAGTTTCTTTGAATGACTCTTTACTAAAGTTTGACATATAGTTTATTTTTTTAACGAAAGGCCCCCGTTTTTGAATGGAGACGCATTTAAACATTCTGAATAACTTAAAAAAAAAAACACTCCTGATAATTTTTACCAAAAAAAATAATAGCATATACAACAAAGGTTAAATTGATACAAAATAAATAGATAACATATTGCAGTATTTAATGTCACATGTGTTAAACCAAGTCTCAACAATGACGTCACATAGTATTTCAAAGACAACAATCCTCAATTTAAAAAAAGTACGCATATTGTATGGACACCCCTTACATTAAAATATGTCATGCATCGGCGGCACATGGAAAAAGACAATGCTCTGGATAATGCCAAATGATAGTGGTGTGTTGCTTCATTCCTCGATTAATGGAAGACGGAAATCATTCACTGTGATAATCATTTGTTTTCAATTGCAAAAACGATGTCCTAATTCATCCAATACGTGTTTATATGCGACATATACGGAGATAACGATGGCCATTACATCATGAATTTTGGCTTTGCACGAAAGTCAGTGAAGATTCGGGTAGTATACGGACGAGCGTTGTCATGCTAAAAACTCTCAAATACTAATGAGTTTGAAACATTGATGCAACATGTGGTACTGGTGCTTATATGTATCTCTGTGCATAAAAAACCTGTCACAAAAAAATGCAATAGCGTTTTGTAGCAAATGAAACACCAGCCCAAAACATTGCAATATCGCCGCCCCACTATTCAATTCAAATGTATCTTTCATATTTGTTTTCAATTCCTTGTGCGATCGTCAGCATTTAAGACGTTGAAATGGGATTCATCGCAAAAGAACACCTTATGCCATCGCTGGTGAGGCCATGGTTAATGTACTCTTGCCCAATTTAAAAATTGAGCTCGATGCTACTGAATGAGGATAGGATGAAGCCTGCGTCAAACAGTATGTGTACTTATTATTTGTCTGTGTCGTTCAAATGTTACCCATGCTGCTGATGATGTTATCCTGAGCAGTTTCGCCAATGTTACAAGCGTATATGGCGATCTTACTAATGTGTCGTCAATCAAAGATCACTAGTTTTGTTCTGTAGGAAAAAATGTTTGTAGTAAAAACGTTGTTGTTAACGTACACAAGCGCTCTGGTGACGGCGAAAATTATTTGTAACATCTATGACTGGCAAACTGCATCGTTACTATTAAGATAAGCCGTACCATTCACTTTAAGAAAAAAAATGGATTATTTTCTCCTTTGGTCGATTGCGAAACCAACGAGTTTTTAAACACCCACCTGCATTAATTGCACGTTCAAAAACCTTGTTTCTGTTAAACGTGTACGACTTGTGAGTCGCTCGATCGTAAACGTTATGAAAAGTTTCCAGTAATGTATGATGAAGAAGTTTGGGAAAAATAATCAATAATCGGAAACTTATTTCTCACAAAATTAATTTGTATAGTACGTCTCTTCTGTTTTATAAATGTGTATGTTTATTCTAAAATAAATGTGTTTATGTGATTATTCTTACGTTTCTATCTTACTTATGAGAATTCGTCAACGACGGACATATAATGGTATACTGGTATCCCCATCCGAGACCGAGCCTTTCTGGTAATGAACCCAGTTTGCCTCAAGGAATATTTACAAAAGATTTACACAAGGTTTAGTTTCTTAAACGGTAAGCCTCGGCTTGATTTTGATTATGCTCCAATGCTCCAATTTGTCGTTCTATATTTATGCGATTTTATTCGACAAAGATCCAATATTTCGTCCCTGAACTTGAAAAATTGTAAAATTTCAATGCTTTGAAAATTATGATGCTTCTATTTATAATTGAATAGGCTGATATCATCTGGTAAATTCAGTACAGAGATATAAGTTGTTATGTGACTATGCCGTGATGTACATGTTGATGTACATATTTGGTCTAAAATGACAATTTTACACGTACCTTTTGTAAAAATAGTTATGAGCCGGGTCCTTGTCTAAAACATATGTTACCTTTATTGAATTATTTGTATAAGACATGTTTCAAGCCTTGTCTCTTATCTGTGACATTGAAAACAATATTTTAAAATATGGCTCTTAAAGAAGTTTTTGCTGTTTGCATTAAATGCTAGACGCACAAGGTCTTTCTCCTTTTGGAGTTCATGAGATTCTCTCATTGTTTGTTTATTACCTTAATTCGTTTCTTCCTAATCGATTTACGAGAATTGAACATCGGTATACTATTGTCTCTGTAACTAAAGACTACAGCAAATATATGTAAAAACCATTTTTAAAATATAGATACTGAAAACTTACAGACTGATGTCTATTTAACATCTGTTGTATAATAGATTTATAGTATTTTGTATTGATTTTCAAATTCAAGAAGCCAAACAAAGTCTCCTTTCATACATTTTCCTTTAATGAATATAATCCGCCTTTAAGATCTTAGAATTGGTTGTTCTAGAAGGATGTTTCACGATAACTATATACTTTATTTAATCTGTATACATAAAAAAAAGTAAAGCTGTATCTTACTTCGGTTATTTTTAAAGTAATAGATCCATTTTTGAATAGTATTTGTGAAATATAGGAACTTTTGTGTGTCTTGCGCAACATATAGTTTTTTTTTCAACTTGTCTCTTGAAATTAAAAGAAAATATTTTAACGTTTTGTCATATTTTTATATGAATTTCAGATTTTACCCTTTTTCATAAGAAGGGCGAGTTGGCAGGAGTAAATTTAACGGGATTTAACCCTTTCTCATGAGTGGGGCAAGTTGGTCAACCAGAGTGGATCGATTTTTTAGAAAGTTGGGCGATTCGGTAAACAAGAGTGGGGCGATTTTATAAAAAGTGGGGCGAGTTGGTAAAAAAGTGGGGCGATTTGGTGTGAGGCGATTTGGCGTGGGGTGATTTGGCAGTGGGGCGAGTTGTCTTGCTTCCCTATGGTGTTATGGGACATCAATGATGGAAATGAGGTGGAGTGGGTACCATTCCATCGTGGTGCATATATAAGATAACTTAATCTGATCTTGCCAATACAATAAATATGAGTAATAGCTTAAGGTATATGTTTCAAATATCTGATATGCTATTGCACTTGAAACATTATATGGAAACTAATTATTTGTTTACAAATTAATCTCATTTTTGGATCAATTATCGCCTTTCTCTGATTTTATTACACTGTACTTTGATTTTATTATAAAAAAAAACAATGATATTACTTCACAAATTTACTATCATTTGTCCATTCTGTTAATTGAAAATATCATGTTCAAACTTTGA